TTTTGATGGCTTGACTTGTATTTTTGTTTTATTTTACTTTGATTTTGACTGTATTTGTGTGGTATTTTTGCTGAATTTTTGTGTAAAGTCCTTTGTATGATGACTTTTCTTTCTGTGGTCGGTTGCCTTTTCAACCCGACGCTGTCTCTTGTTGTATGTGAGCGTGCCGTGGTGTTTTTTATGTTTGTGCTGTGATGGCTTGTAGTTGTGATGTGTGACTGCCTTTTTATGTGTCTAGTGGTTCAAATGGCCGTATCTCTGGTTATACTTAGTCGTTTTTCATGATTTTTGTTTCCTTGTGCGTGATTCTTCGCGCTTGTACTTTTCGGCATGATAGAAGCCGATGAAAATGTCTTGTTCTCTTGTGTTGTTTTGCGTGCCGTCGTGATTTTGATGTCGGGGTTGCACAGCTTTGCTTTCAGCTCTGAGGTTCAAACACCTAATTTATTATTATCATCTGTTGGTCCCAACAGATTGCTGATATCGCTTCCACCTGTCTTCAGTGTGATAGTCCATTCTCTGTCTCCACTGTGTGTGTGTTTCCACCTGCTATAAATGGGAGCGATCTCCCTGGATCGGTACCATTTTCCTTCTTGACCTCGGTCGTTCCACTTCCCTCCTTCTGTCTTGTTCTGTCTTGTTCCTTCGCCTTGCTTCAATCCATGTTCTCGTGTACACTTCGACTGGTTGGATACCTCTGTGACAATCGCCTTGTCCACACACATTACACTGTACTGGACATATACCTTTAATACTTCGGCTCCAGCTGGTGCAGACAGGTTTACCTTGGCAAAAAAGGCTTTGACAAAGGTGTCCTTGCAAGCACGGTTCAAGAGCTCGGACAAGCCCGACGTGAGACTTGGGGGCAGCGTGTAGAGGTGGTTGATGAGGCTAGGCACGTACTGCATGGCCGTGAGGAGGGCCTGAAGCGAGACACCGGTCGTCAGCATGTCATTGAGCTTGCCAGCAATGTGCTTTGCCTTGTCGTTCAGCTGCTTCTTCATCCACTCGCGACGGCCAATCGGCGTTCCCAAGACCGTCATGCCCGTGTTGGCCGTCTCGCGCACGGCATCTGGCAAGACAGACTTGATAGCAGTGATGGAAGCGGGATGGTGGCGAGGCATGTAGAAGCGGCTCTTACTGGGCTGCAAATGAAGGCCAGCAGACTCTGCACGAGCCA